CAGGCAAACGGATTGTGGTGTGATCATGTTTCTCTGGGAGGTGCTTTCTCCCTCTCAATCTGTCTCTGGCAAGTGCATATGCCTTCTGGAAAGTTTTAAAAAAGAAAATGCTAGAACCAGGATTTGGACTGAGATCTGCCAATAACATGTAGGTGAGGATGTGGAGAAACTAAAACCCTCATTCACGGCTGGAATGCAGACACTCTGGAACTCAGTCTGATAGTTCTCAAAAGGTTAAACAGTTATCCTATCACCATCATTCCAGGTATCTGAAAGAAATGAAAACCTGCACATAAATATTCATAATAGCACTATTCCTAATAGCCAGAAGTGGAAACAACCCAAATGTTCACCAACTGATGAATGTATGGTCCAGAACTAGAACAGCCATAAAATGGTATATTACTCAGCAACAAAAAGGAATGCAGTGGTGGTACAAGCTACTCCATGAATGAATCCTGAGGGCACGCTAAATGAGAGAAGCTGGTCGCTGCAGATCACCCAGCGCAGGGTTCCAGTTACACGGCACATCCAGAGTTAGCACATCTGCAGTGGCAGGAAGATTAGTAGTTGCTTAGGACTCAGGGAAAATGAGTGGTCACTGTTAAAAGGAATTTCTTATTGGGAGTGGAAAAAAAATGCCCTAAATGCACAACTCTACAAATATTAAAATCTATTGAACTATACACTTAAAACATATGAGTTGTGTGACATACGGTTTATATCTTAATAAAGCTATGGATATTATCAAAAACAAAACCAACACCACATCAGGTCTGACACTTGATACCTTATGTCTCCAATTCCTTCTCCTGGAAGGTTTAGGAACTGACCCAACAGGTACTCACTGTGCTCGGGTCACCCTGGTCTCCCTTTCCCAGTAGCATCTCAATTTCCTTCTAAGCAATTAAACTACCCCCCGCTCCCAAGAGATCAAGCCTTATGAATCTTTTTTTCTAAAGCAATGTGAAAACAGACAGTAATTTTAGAAAAAAAAAAATAGTTGACAAAGCCTGACCAATTCTCTAAGGCAAATGGTAAATATGCACCCTACATTAGGCCAGCTGAGTGCTTCTTTCTACAACTCTAAATTATCATGGTGCATCCACTACACTTTCCTAAGCCCCTCAGAGTTGCCTGAGTTGTCATTTCTGTGTATTTCTCCAAACGTATTAGTCTCATAAACTCCTAGGAGTTTTTTTTTTTTAATATATTTACTTTTGCTTAAGATAGACCAAGATGACTTCTGTTGTCTACAGCCCAAGAGTGGTATACTTTCCTAATTTCCTAGTATTCATAGGCATTTTATGGAAGTTTATAGAAATGTATACTTATAGAAGCTTAAAACTGCCCAACTAGCTGCATTTAGAGTAGTTGCTGCTTCTTACTTTCAAAGCCAGCTGAGCTTATGTTCTTAATTACAAAATGGGGAGAAGGTAGGGGTGGGAAAGTCATGATGCATTTTTGCACAGAAAAATATGTTAAGACTTTCCCGACAACCTAATGCATGTATGGCAAGGGAAACACAGGTACTGTAGATGCATCTGGTACAGATACTCCAGCAACCCAGGCAAAAAGGACAGAAGACTAATTTCCAGAAATACATCCCACTTTTACATGATAAACAGTAGAGAAATGCTACATTTAAAAACTCTGAAAACAATTATTTTAGCCACAATAAACCCACTTACTAGAGGATTTAGAATGCCATCCTACCTAACTATGAATCAACTATTAATCCTTACCTGATCTAGTTCACAAAATTTCAGAATCTTGGCCTGGTATGTAATTTTGTCACTAACTTCCCTGTTTCTTCCAATAATGACTGTCACTTCTTCAACTACTGAGATAATCTAAAAAGTCTTCAAACAGGTGTATGTAGGTTCTAGAAGCAATTAAAAGCCACCACCTCTTGAAGTCAGTACAACGTTTCGAACGCTAAACAGAAAAAAACAGTAGGTTCCTAGGCCCTGCATTAAGTCTGACTCCATAAATCTACACCTTTAGAAAGGCATCTTCTCCTTGGCACAGCGTTCAGAACCAGAATATAGTCATAGATGGCGATGCCAAAAGAAGACGTGTGGGAGCAACCGGTAGTATATCTGGTTCCAGTGTCTCAGTGTAAAACCACTTCTGTGAGCATATGATTCTCCAATAATCCTACAGACAAAGTGCAACAATATTCTATTTTTAAAAAAGAATATTTTTATTTAACTTCATTAATTAATTTATTTTAATTCAACCAGCAAAGGACAGAGTGAAAGAGAGAGAGGGTAAGTGAGAAAGCCAGTCACCAGGTCTGGGACTCAAACAGTAGTCAGCCATGTGGGAGTCTAGTGCCCTTAACCACCATGCCACTGGCTGGCCCTTCAATATTGTATTTCTTAAAAAGACAAAGATTCAGGGCGGCCATCAGACAGTATGAAGGCTAAGGTGCTGGATCCCATGTGGCCAGCTGTGTGGCTGTCCGAGACGCCACGACCTGAGAAATTATGCCAGGCACGTGTGTGCATGAATGGAGGAGGAAGAATTACAGCTTAGCTATCTCCCTGAGAAGTGATTTCTCACTTTCCCTCTCTCTCTCTCTCTCCAGCGTGCATTTATTCTGTTGCAAAAAAAAAGAAAAAAGAAGAGAGAGAGAGAGATTATTAGTCAGCTGGTCTCTGGTGGTTAGGATGGCTGTATCGGGACCAGCAAATGGCATAACTCCTCCCTGGCCTCCCATGTAGTCGACTGCAGTATGAATCCTGGACCTAGTGGCTTAAAACCCATGCTGGGCACATGTGCCCAAAATCCCGAGAGAAGAATGGAAGAGAAGGGATTGTTGCATGGCCACCCCCTCATCCTGCATATAGGGGGGTGATTTCTCACTTTCTCCAATGTGTACAAATGCCCTATAGCAAAAATTGCTCTTAAAAAATAATAATAATTAAAAAAAAGGATACTAGATCCCACACAGCCAACAGTGCAGTTTGAATCTTGGACCTGGCTGCTTGAAAAACAGACTGGGTACATGTGTGAGCATACCCAAAATCCTGACAGGAGGGAGAAATGGAGAAGAAAGAATTGAGACATGACCTATGCGGGATGCTTTCTCACTTTCCCTGTCTCTTTCCAGTGAGTGCACGCATCCTCTGGCAAAAAAATTATTAAGTAAAACAAGAAAGAAAAATCCAGTCTAAATTAATTTCTCTTTTTGATAAAGCTACTACATGAAACAATTCTTAACATTTATCATGCATTTATCACATAGTAGACACTGTACCAAACACATGGATAATCTTGCTTAAATATTCACAAAAACTCTAGTGTGTCAGGACCAGCAGTTAGTGTAATGGCTATGTCGCTGGACTCCCACATAGTTGACTGTGGTTCGCATCCCGGACCCGGTGGCTTAAACTCACACTGAGCGCATGTGCGTAAGATCCTGAGAGGAGAATGGAGGAGAAGGGATTGCGGCGTGGTCATGCCCCCTGGGGGGTGATTTCTCGCTTTCTATCTCTCTGTCTCTCTCTCTCTGTCTGGTGAGCGCACGCGCCCTATAGCAAAAACCTCTTCAAAAAAAAAACTCTAGTGTGCTCTTAAAACTCAGTTTTATAGGTCTCAAAACTGAGGCTTAGAGACAGATCCTAAATAGAACTTAGGATTCAACCTGAAGTTCCTAGACCAACTTGGTCGGTAAGCAGAGGGCACCTCATTTCATTAAAACATTGTAAGTGAGCACAAGCACAGAGCACAAGCACCGTGCTAAGCACTAGGTGTGAAAGGGGAAGGATGCAGTCACTGAAGTCAAAGAGCAGCCCTAGGACTTTTATTCAGGCAAATAAACAAGCTAATATGAACTATGGAACAGATCCCTCGGTTTTTGGAGGTTTTTTTGCTATTTGTCAGTAGGTGAATGTACTTGCCAGAGAGAGAGAGACAGGAGAGGAAAGAGAAAGAAGAGGGCGGGGAGGTGCAGGGTAACACCTCAATCCCTGCTCCTCCATTTCTCCATCCTTGGGATTTGGGGTATGCATGCACACATGCCCAGGAAGTGCCAGGGCTAAGATTTGAACCACATGGTTGGCCATGTGGGATCTAGCCCCCTTAACCATTAGGCTATGAGACTGGGCTGATTCCCAGTATTTCTATACCCAAAATGACTATCTGATAAGGCAATACCTTTGCCTTAATACTTTCTCTAGCCGAAAGCACCAACTCACTTCTGGGCAATCCCTATCTCATATAAATTGTTTAAACATAGGTCACTTCTTCCAGGTTGTCCCATCTGCCCCTAATGGCTACAGACACATCGATTCCAACTAGAAAGGTACCCAGATCACACTGAAATAACTTGTATAATTAGCCGCTCTATCCACTACACTGCAGGACAGGACTATGTCTACCTTGTTCATAACAGCGCACTTTCTTAGATCAATCATTAATACGTCTGTGCGATACAAAAGTACTTTGTGATGTCACAGTGTTTATCTTTAGAACAGCTTAGATTCAAAAATTACATCAACTTGGGACCAGTGGTTAGCGCAATGGCTATGTCGCTAGATTCCCATGTAGTCAACCACGGTTTGAGTCCCGGACCCAGCGGCTTAAACTCACGCTGGGTGCATGTGCGTGCATGCCCAAGATCCCGAGAGGAGAATGGAGGAGAAGGGATTGCAGAGTGGCCATCCCCCTGGGGGGTGATTTCTCGCTTCTGTCTCTATGTCTCTCTCTCTGTCTGGCGAGCGCACGTACCCTATGGCGAAAAACCTCTCAAAAAAAAAAAATACTGTCATTATAAAAAATACCACATTCTTACACTTAATTAAAAAGGTTCAGAAAAATTGTGTGTGTGTGTTTGTCCGAGAGAAATGTTGGTTCATTTTCTCATCTCCAAACATAAAAATTATGTTAACACTTGACACATCATGTGTGTGTGTGTCATGTATATGACACACAAATATATACACACATATATATGTATACACACATACACGTGACATAAAGAATAAACATACCTGAATAGGAGATGGTTTTTCCCAGCCCATTTCAAAAATTCCCATCAGCAACTCCCGTTTCAAACAGTAATCTTCAAACTCATTTCCTTTCGTGGAGGTCACATCCTAGCCAAACAAAACAAACAATGAAAGAATAAAGTCCAACTGTGTCTTTTGGTAGTACGCTTTAGAAAATGTATGTGAGACTTTAAATCTTTATCTATCCAATCTTAAATATAAGCACATGCAATTGCTTTTGTTTTCCTATATATTCAGCTTTTCCTAGAGAATAACCACTTTCCTTTCAACACACGAGCCATTTAAAAACTGTGTTTTGGGGAAAGGCCAGCCTTGGATCAGTCTTCTAAAGAATGGTAGAATATTGTTATTTCTACACACACATCATGCTATTAATCTCAAGTCAGAAGATGTAAAGGCAAAACCACTCACTAGCTATTAGGGTGTCAGAAAAGTCATGGTGCATTTTTGCATAGGAAAACACAGATAAATTTTACCATGACTTTTCTGACAACCTAATACAAATGTTCTTGGCTAAATTAGTGTTTCTCAAGTTCAGCACACTGGCATTTGGGCCAGAATATTCTGTTATAAGTGACTGTCCTGTAGCATCTCCTAAGGGTGATGAACAAAAATATGTCTAGTTATCGCTAAATCCTCCACAGGGGACAAAATCAACCCTGGTTGAGAACACTGGGCTATGAGAACTAACTTTTTGAACTTCTGTTTTTCTCATCCACAACAAAGGTGATTACTACCTAAAACAAGTAACTTTTTGAGTTGTTAGAAAATTCTGAGAAAATGCCTTGAAAGTCTTATAAAATTCTGGCAATCTAATATATGACCTATACGGTATCAACCATTTCAACTTACTCGAGTAAACGCATAGTGTCTATTGCTATTACAATTACCTACTTCATTTCTAGAATGTCCCCACCACTTTTCCACTTCAATTTTACAACCAACTTACCGAAGTTTTGATTCTTAGATCCTTTGGAGGGAGTTTTAAAGTCTTTTTCCAGTCATCACCAGGTCTAGATAAAATAAATTTGAACTATCAAAATTCATAGCATCTTACCTAATAAATACAAAGATGACTCATTTCAATATAATTAAGGCCGAAAAGTAAAAAGCACATTAAGTTTAATATCATTTTCTTAAGTGTAGTTAGTGGGGCCAGTAGATGGCCTGCTAGTTAAGGTACTGGACTTCTACATGGCCAATTGGAGTTCGAGTCCCAGACCTGATGGCTTGCTTTCTCACTTTTCCTCTCTCTGATGCGTACATTTGCCCTACAGCAAACTAAAATGATTGACTGATTGATTGATTGATAGATAGATGGAAAGACTCAATCAATCAATCAATCAAGTGGGTTGGTCATGACCAGCCATGAGGTTCAAAACCAGCTCCAGCAGCTTGAAAAACAGCAGTGCTTATGTTCATAGTCTTTCTCTCAGTGCATGTGCCCTCTAATCAATTGAAAAATAGAAGGGGATGGGGGTGGCAACCAAGTCAAGTGGCACGGTAGTTAAGGCAGCTGGATCCCACAGGGCCAACAGCGCAGTTCAAGTCCTGGATCAGGTGGCTTGAAAAACATGCTGGGCACATGTGCGTGGTTGCCCAAAATCCCAAGAGAATGGAGGAGAAGGAACTGTGGAGCAGCCATTCTCCCTGGAGGATGATTTCTCACTCCCCTCCCTAAGATCCAAATTCTTGAGAACCAGCTTAGTATATAAGGGGTCATTTTTTCTTTTCTTTTTTTTTGAGAGGTTTTTGCTGTAAGGCGCGTGCGCTCATCAGACAGACAGAGAGACAGACAGCGAGAAATCACCCCCCCAGGGGGGATGGTCATGCTGCAATCCCTTCTCCTCCGTTCTCCTCTCAGGATCTTGGGCACACACGCACACACGCCCGGCGTGAGTTTAAGCCACCGGGTCTGGGACTTGAACCATGGTCAACTATGTGGGAGTCCAGCGACATAGCCATTATGCTAACTGCTGGTCCCATATAAGGGGTCATTTTTAAAAATTAATGAAAAATACAAATTATGCAAAAACTGTACATGGATTTCAAAAATTTCTATACTAAAATAGTGGGGTTTTTTGTTTTGTTTTAGTTTTTTAAAATGTGTTTTGTGGGGGACCAGCAGATAGTGTAGCAGTTACATCGCTGGACTCCCACACAGCTGACTACAGTTGGAGTCCTGGGCCCTGCAGCTTTAAACTCATGCCAGGCATGTATGTGCGCCCAAAATCCCAAGAGAAGAGTAGAGGAGACGGGACTGTGGGTGTAGCCATTCTCCCTAGGGGGGTGATTTCTCACTCTGTCCATGAGCACACATGCCCTATGGCAAAAATCTCTCTTTAAAAAAAAGGCGGGGGTGGGGGGACCAGCAGATGACGTAATGGTTATGTTGCTGGACTCCCATGTAATTGACCTGGGTTCAACTCAGACCTGGCAGCTTAAAACTCATGCTGGGCATGTGTGTACACATGCATACCCAAAATTCGGAGAGGAGAATGGAGAAGGGATTGCAGCATGGCCAACCCCCCGGGAGGAGATTTCTCGCTTTCTGTCTCTGTCTCCAGCGACCACATGTACCCTTACAGCAAAAATCTCTAAAAAAAGAAAAAGGTTTTGTTATTATTTATCTACTTCAAGAGAGAAAGAGAGATAGGCACCTAGTTGGGCCTTTCTGCCACTATCACCAGTCTCAGATGGCATGCCCAGGGTGGTCCCAGGACACAGACCCAAAACCTTTCTCACATGGACCCACTGTTGTAGTACCACTGTGCCACATGCCCCCCCCCCACCTTTTTATTTTTGGCTGCAGGTTACACCTGCTTGCTGGAAACAGATAAAGGGAAAGTGAGAAATCATCCCCCAGAGGGGATGGCCAGGCTGCAATCTCCTCTCAGGATTTTGGATAAAGACGCCTGGAATGGTTTGCACACTGCCTCATCTAGGGCACTAACAGCCAAGCTGGCCATGCGGAATCCAGCTGCCTTAACCTCCATACCACCTGCTAGCCCTAAATTCTACTTAATCCCATTTTTCCCTGAACTTTATGAAGTCTCCAGTGTGCAGTTCAACACGTTTTGTTTACAACTTACATGATGAACTTTAACTTAACTGCCAACATTCAAAAATTAGATTTCATCTAAAATTTCAGATTCTGGCTCTTCCTGAAAAACTGGGAACTTTAGCCAGTGTTCCAAATAGCTGCAAGGCCAACAGTTTGGTACAGCTTAGTAACTGGAGTTTTAAATCAAGTAGTTTCCCCCTTTAAAAATATCCACTTCCCTTGTAGGCATTTCTGTCATAAATTATTGTGGCTAATTAAAACCAATGGCTCTGAAATCTCAGACTTGAGCTCAGATCCTGACTGTGGTATTGGGTAGCCAATAATGTCATGACTTGTTTTTGCATAGAAAAACAATTCATGGCTTTTAGAAAGACCCAGTATTTATTGGTTCTGTGACCCTGCACCAGTTATTGGCCTGAACCTGGATTCTCTCATATATGTTATCATCTACTAGACCAAGTAACTTATGCACAACGCTCACTGCATCTGGCAAATAACTCGGTATAAGCTGTTCATCAACATCTCAATCTTGGGAACCAGCAGTTAGCGCAATGGCTATGTCGCTGGACTCCCACGGAGTCAACCGCGGTTTGCGTCCCGGACCCGGTGGCTTAAAACACACGCCGGGCGCGTGTGCGTGCGTGCCCAAGATCCTGAGAGGAGAATGGAGGAGAAGGGATTGTGGTGTGGCCATCGCCCCTGGGGGGGTGCCTTCTCGCTTTCTGTCTCTCTGTCTCTGTCTGTCTGGCGAGCGCACGCACCCTTTAGCAAAAACCTCTCAAAAAAAAAAAAAAAAAGAGAGAGAACATCTCAATCTCTTTTACTGGAGATGTCTGAAACCATGAGAATAAAAACAAGGAAAATACAAACAAAAATAAAACATGTCTCATTTTGGTCTACAAATAAATAAAAAATATATGTCTCGTTTTGGTCAGATATAAATCTCAAATAATAAATATTAACACATCTAATAAAAAGCTACCCAGGAGCCAGCTGGTGGAGTAGTGGTTAAGTGGTTCAAGTCTTAGACCTGGAGGCTTGAGAAACACCCGGTACAAGCCCGAAATCCCTAAAGAAGAAATGTAGAAGGGACCACGGTATTGTTATTCCCCATAGGGGGGTGCTTTCTCACTTTCCCTCTCTGGCGAGTGCACACATACTTTAGCAAATGTAAACAAATTTTAAAAATTGGAGTCAACATGTGGTGTGGTGCTCAGGTGCTGGACTCCCACAAGGTCAACCATGGTTCAAGCCTCTGATCTGGCAGCTTGAAAATTACACCAGGTGCATGTGTCTTAGTGCCCAAAATCCCAAGAGGAAAATGGAGAAGGGACTGTGGCGTGGCTATGGAGGGGAGAGAGAGGAATTTCTCATTTTCCCTCCCTCTCTCAGGCAAGGGCATGTGTCCTATGGCAAAAACCTAAAATTTTTTTTTTCAGAAGACCAACTAAAAGGACAAACAGTCCACAAACATTTGAGACAATGTTTTTAACTGTGTCATCTTTTTTTTTTAAAGAACTATTTCATTTAACTTTATTCATTTATTTAAATTTGACCAGAGAGGAAAAGGGGGAGGGAGAGAGAGAGGATATGTAACCCTTTAGGTTCAGGACTTGAACCGCAATTGGCCATGTGGGAGTCTGGTGCCCCCAATCACCACACCACCTGCTAGCCCCCTGTGTCATCTTAAAAACAAAGTTTTTACTGACTTCATTGTAGCTACCCATACATGACCAAACTTTAGAAGTTTGAGGGAAAATTGAATTAAAGTATAAACTTATTTGGGGGCAGAAAAAATGTACACTCCATCCAAAGCACACCTTCCACAAACTTTTCTTTGAAGACATTCCCTAGTATTACCAAAGTCTCAAAAACATCTGAAAAGCTTTATTTAAAAAGATACAAACTGATTTTACTTAAAGCTATGTCTCACATAATGTAAATACACCAGTAACTTTTTGCTACCAATCCCAAAGCTACTAAAATCCTTTCGTCTCAGTCTGTAACATCAAAGTTTTTAAACAAAAATGTTAGTGCAACATCCTACCAGGCCACCTTGCTACACTGCCAAATCCAACAACTAGGAAATAATCACATATATGGTAAGATGCAAAACCTACCTATGGGAATTTATAACTGTAATAAGTTGAAAAATAACATTAAAATGGGAGAATAAATGATGCAGATTAAGTGTTAGTTCTGAGACAGATGATGGGATCTTCATGGAAGCAATGGCAAATGACTTGAAATTTGAAGAACCGAGAGAACTGAGAAGAAACTATTTACCCAAGGAAAAGGGGGAGAAAATGGGGCCAACAGGTAGCACAGAGGTTAAGGGGACTGGATTCCACATGGAAGACTGAGCTGCTTGAGTCCTGGACCCAGCAGCTCGAAAATTACACTGGGTGCATGTGCACACATGCCCAAAATGCTAAGAGGAGAATGGAGAAGGACCGCAGTGTGGTCCCAAATGGGGGATCATTTCTCACTTTTTCTCTCTCTCTTTGGTGAGCTCAAGTGCACTGTAGCCCACAAAACAAAACAAAACAAAACAAAACAGAATGAACAAACAAAATCTGCTACTGTCTCAAGTCAGAATTTAAAAATAAATAGCCTATATCTTGCTAGCCTATCCATATTCTGTTAAGACAGACTAATTTAGAAAACATTTTTCATTCACTTTAAAAATAAGAGAACATGGAGCTGGCAAGTGCCATGGTAGTTAAGGCCCTGGACTCCCACATAGCCGACCATGGTTCAAGTTCCAGACCTAGTGGCTTGCTTGCTCTCCTTTTATCTCTCTCTGGCCAAATTAAAAATAAAAATAACAAAACTGAATAGTCTTTTTGTTTCCCCCAGAGAGATTTTTGCTATAGGATACATACGCTCGCCAGAGAGAAAGCGAGAAATCACCCCTCACCCCAGGGGGGGTGGGGAAGGGGGGGATGGCCCCACCTCAATCCCTTATCCTCCGTTCTCCTCTCGGGATCTTGGGCACGCATGCACAGGCACCCAGTATGAGTTTTAGCACTGGGTGCAGGACTCAAACTACAGTTGACTAAGTGGGAGTCCAGTGACGTAACCATTACGCCATCTGCTGGTGCCAAAACTGAATAGTTCTTTAAAAAGAAAAAAACAGACTATGAACCAATTCCAATTTTTCTAGTGACCAGACTGATGTAATGGGAATTCTTACAGGTCACCAATCAACCACACAGCATCTATTCTGGTAGCTTCAAAGGACTATTTTTCTCTAAGAAGTGAGATGTAGATCATTATAAATACATACACTTTGGTTCAGTAAACCAAAGTATCAGCATCTTATGAAAACCTATAATTTTACTCATTTTACATGTGTAGATTAACAAAAATCAAGCCTTAAGTGGGGTCTAGAGTCTTAAACGTTAATCTCCTATACCTGAACCCTCAGAATGCCAGTTACCATTCAAATAATTTAAAGTATGCACTTAGAAGACAAACAGCTCATAAGCTTTCAGCTTTAAAAGAAAAATATTCCATAGCTCTTAAGTTTTGGAGTCAACAAGGGTTTGGCACTACCCAGAGTACAAAATCCTGAGTTCCTTATGATTTATTTTGTGGGTGTGAAAGAGTGGAAAAAGCCCTTCCCGCCCCCCATAAAGGTTAAAAAAAAAAAAAAGCAAAGTTCTATAAACTAAAAAGTTACAGATAAATATTCTGAGTAAATGTGCTTAGAATTCAGAAGAATGGGCAAATCTTTACATTTCAAACTTGAAACTTTTAACTTTTAAATGGCTTTTAAATGCCATTTAAGCTCGGTATAAGGTACAGTTATAACGTAGGAAAAAACTACACTGAACAAGATGAAATCTTATTGTTTCATTCATTTACAACAGTAACTTCCATATTGAGCTAATTACAAAAGCTAGAAATATTCCCCCAAATCTACACGAAATTAACATACGTCATCTGTGCCTATGTTCACCACTTGCTGAATTATTTTTGGAAGAAATATACTATTTTAAATACCTACTGGTCATAAACTTAAGTCATCTGTCTATTTGCATTCAAAATAGTTCAATTAAGGTATAAAGCAGTCAACAATAAAGTACATAAAAACAGCCGGCAGTCCCCAGGTGTGCTTACCACTCGACACTTACTTAATAGTGGTGGTCACACTCTGTGCTTGCTGCTGAGTGCCGTTATTGATTGTGTTGGTATTTTTCAGCTGGTTCATCTGTTGCTGTGTCTGCGTGCCCCCTCCTCCGGGACCACCACTGGGCTTCACAGGGCCCCTCAGCTGACCGTTTTGACTGGATAGACCCATTATAACAGGGTTCTCTGTTCTGGCCGTGCTCATGCTGTGTTAACTGTGAAGGTGTCTCTTTCAAACTTCAAAACTTTTGAAAGTCAGTAGAGAAACTGTAATAACAGTTTATTAGGCTCTCCAAAATGAAGAGATAAATAAGTCTTGCTCAATATATGAGTCCTTTATTGCAACGCAGGCAAGCACCTGTAAGTCTCTGAACGGTAAGCAGCAGTAACTTGCTCTCATGCACCGAATCAACTTTTTATTTTTAAAAAGCCCTCTAACAATCTTGAGTTATATCTGAATTCACTTCGATCTGAAACAAAGAAAAAAATTATATTAGTAAACATGAGGTTATGGGGAAAAAATATTTTAAAGAACTCCTTTAGAAGAACTCTCATCCTTTAAAGGGTTAAGAACACTTAGACCAAATCACTAGCCAAGCTAGAAAAGTTACAAGGGTGAATTGCTTCAAAACCAAATGTATAGAGACTAACCTCAAACATTTAAAATGGTGAGTTCAAAGCAACCAGAGACAGACTATCAGGTAGAGAGATACTATGATTAAATTTGCATAGTTGTCAAATGACAGTCTTTCCCCCTCAGTTTCCTCCCTGAAGAATTCTTCAGTCTCAGCCACCGCTGAAAGTCAATGATTCATTATACTTAATTGCATTACCACGCAGTGAAGTATCACACAATTTACTTAATGTAAATCTAAATTTGAATAACACAAGAGAATTCCAATTTTTTTCTTTTTCTGAGAGCAATTTAGAGTCCTTGAAGAGTTGAGTTTCAGACTTCAATTTACACACCCAGAAAAAAGCACTTTTGTGACCCAGTGAATTTTAACTATAAAAGAATTTTATATGTAGAAAAACATTATCTTTCGTCTTTTAAGTTTTTGTCCTTTAAAATAGTAAATATATAATAGGTGGATAGGAACATGTCAGAATCTTTTGCTTGAAAAACAGCCAAGAAAAATCTCTGGCTACCTCAAAAAAATTAAATACTAAAACATTAGTTATTAGCTACCTTTCAGTGAAGCTTTTCAAAAAAGTATTTTTTAAAAAAAGGCATCTTAATTAAAAAACCTGTATTTAAAAAATAAAAAAGGACAGTTCTTGCATTAAAAAAAATGTTAAAAAGACTAAACACTAGTGATTTTAACAAAACTTTCCAAGAAACACAGGGTACTAAATCTAATTCTTTTTTTTTTTTTTTAAATAACTGGTCCTCCATTTTTAAGTTGGTCCCCGAATTGAATCATTTAGAAATTCAGTAAATAGAAACATAGTTTACAAATACCGAAAAAAAACAAAAACGCTACTGTTGACCTTTTATTTTTTCACCCCCTTGTATTTCTTACCCAAAAAATTTAAGTGATTCATCAGTGTTGATTATTTTTGCCACACACCAAGACATCCCAAACTCAAAATTTTAAATTAAATTAGATATGCTCCGAGATTCCATCTTCCTTTTTTAATGAAACTGAACATCAAGCGGCTCGCAAGCAAATCCTGACTATCACATACACAAAGTCTCCCAGAATCCGACCTCTTAAGCAGACGTGGTTAACAGCTACTTTCCTGTATTGACAGGTTTATATTATGATCAACGATATCACGTAGTTCACACACGGAGATTTATTTGCTTGCAAAGCACTAAGAGGATGAAGAGGGCAACCTCTAAAGACTAAACGATATCATCGTTACTGTCCGATATCATCATTACTGTCCATCATGCACAGTAAGACCTCTTATCTCCCTAAATCCAAAATGAGACTATGTGATAACTGCTCCCGGCTCACACTGAAACCTGCACTGCAGCTTTCCGTCCCAGGGAAGGATATACTCCTACCCCTTCCCAATTTAGATCTGCAAGCTGTATTTCCACATTAAAAAAAGAAGAAGAAAAGAAAAAAACGTAGACTAGTTGGGAGGGGCCGCGGCGGCGTTAATTACAGCACTTCCCAGATCGTAGTTAGCAATTGACAGTTTCACACCCAAAACAGTACCGTCATCTCCAACAAGAGCTTTTGTTTGCAAATGCGGCGCAGTTTCTCAGAGCGGTGGCCGCGAGCTGGAGGGCCTGGGTTTTATCCGGAACGGAAAGGGGCAGTGGAGGAGTAAAAGGGGGTGAGCGATAAGGGATGGGGGCCAGCCAGGATTCCCAGCCCCCGACCACCAGCGCACACACACCGAGCGCCCCCGACCACCAACACAAAAGGGTCCCGGCCCTGCAATCCTATCTGCGCCACAAGGGCCAGGAACCAGGTCCGCGCGTACAAAACAATAGGGACTTCCCCCCTAAGGCCCCGGAGAGAACCCCCGAGCCAGGAAGCCCTTCCTCTACTCCTCGGCCCGGGGGCTCCGTGAGCGCCGCCCGGGACCGACCGCCCAGGCCCAGTG